CCCCAAAACCCCAAAACCCCAAAACCCCTATCTGGAATTTTAATTTAAAATTTATAATTGTAAATTCCAATGTCTAAGAGCAGCTTCTACGTTGAAATTCAAGCAAAGTCATGGGAGAAAGACTCCCATGGGCTCCATGATTACGACAATAGCGCCAAATGAAAAGAGTTCAAAGTCCAAGCACAGGACTCCTTTGTAGTAGGTCGGAAGTAAGAACGGAAATTGCTTTTTCTCAAAGAGTAATTCAATGAATGGTATGCCCTTAGTTTCTGTAGTGAATATTCACGACAGCTATTATCTTGATAACTGTTTTGCGAAGCAGTCAACTACATGCTATAATGATTACAGAAATTGTAATTGGATTCCTACAATAGCTTACAATAATCACCAGCCTTATCGGAACTGACACAGATTGTTCGAAGGAGATGTAATAAAATTCGGGAGACTAGTATTCGAAGTGAGTAAAACTTCCCTTTCAAGTCTAACTTCACTGTAGATGAGGGTACTCTGAACAAACCCAGGAAAGGTCATGCCCATGAAACATTCCAGTAACATATAATCAATAACTTAAATGATTCGTTCGAACGACTGCAAGGAATGTCTAGAACAGAAAAATATATAGATCCGACAAACTTCAAATAAACTCGAGCTTGGAGCTTCCTATATTGAAGATCAATCTCTGGATGAAAGTACCTTCGAAAAGGAGTTTAAGTGTAACTGCAGAATCTGCCTTTCTGGGGAGTGAGACCGAGCTGACCCCCTCATATCAATCTGCAAATGATCTGGTACTGCCAAATACATACATCTTACATGAGCTAAAGAGTTACTGAAATGAAAAATGAAAATAAAGAGATCTCAGCACTATATTTCCTTTACCTGGGAAAGCATGATTTGAGAACTTTGAAAGGGCAAACTACCTGATACGGTCGAAATCCCGACTGAAGCTAGCAATAGTATGAAAGATAGTAATCTCACATTGATGGAGAATACCAAACTTGTATATCTAATCGATACTCCAGAAGAAATTTTAGAGTTCCCATATATAATGATGGAATGACTAAATGTATCAATGCTGAAGAAAAATAGCTCAAAAATCATTTACTTTATAAAAATGGTTGAGGAGAAAGTCATAATTGGTCGCGGCCAAGCAGCACAAGTACGGTTAGCTGATATCTCGATCTCAAGACAGCATACTGCTCTTTATCTCACCAATAACAATGAGTTTTATCTAACAGACCACAAGAGCAAATTTGGAACACTGATTCTCCAAAAAGAGCCAATTAAGTTAAACACTAAACCGTAAATATCTGTATTAAATTCTAGAACTTCAGAATGCTTGATCCAGAGCGGCAGGACTTTACTAAACATCAGGCTGAGAAATGTTGCAACAGGATTGTGCTGTTGCAAAACTAGGGCTAAAAACCTTCAGGCAGGAGTAAACTACTTCGACCACATTCATTGTTTCCCAAAATACTTCAAAAGATTCATAGTTGAAAAGAAAGTATGAGCTCCCAAAGCCAAGAAAATCAGCATCAACGAAGTCAGCAAACTTGAGGTACCTCCAGCCGATGTTCCTCAGGATTCTTTGGAGATGGACGAGTTAAGGCCGAGCCTAAAGAAAGTCAACTTTAAAGAATCCAATGAAGAATCTAAAAGTGAGCTAGAGATTGACAACTCGATTAAAGTCAAGATGAACCCCTTATTTAATGATAACGCACCAAGACTGACTGAGACTCAGAACTTTTCACAGCCTATTCAGACTTTCCAAGATAATGATGAAAACAATAAGACTCAGAAGGATCTTGATCGGGAATTTAGGAGTCTTGATATCGATGACTCTGACCAAGAGAATAATGACCTAGAAGAAGAATGAAAAGACATGGTGATGGATAGTCAAAATTTTGATAAATTCCCTCTGGCAAAACATCTGATGTCTCCTTCTCCTAGCACCAATAAATCACCAGATTTCTTCCTAACAAAGAAGGGATCCCTTGAAATGAATTCCTTTGATATTTCTGGTTCTGGATCTCCTAAAAATTCCTTCTTTTATAAAAACAAGCATTCTCAAGGGATGGTTCTTGGTAAGATTTAATGTCTAAAAACATAGAACAAAATCAGGAAGATGGCAGGACTAGACAAAGGCCGCGGCTCCGTGACAGCACTGAATTTGGCAATTCCTTCAAGATGTTACATCCCAGCGAGAGCAATATTGGTCTCATGGTGAAGGAACCTGGTAATAAAGAAAGCAGTGTCACATTAGTCAAGCATTTCACTGAAGAAAACTGGCAATAAATATATAATTCACTTCTATTTAAAGTTCATTGATAGGGGTTTTGGGGTTTTGGGGTTTTGGGGTTTTGGGG